TAATATGTAAAATTTATTATTTAAAATATTTTTCTTTGAGGCTCAATTTTTAAATTATATAATTTGTTTAAATGTAAAATTTTATAAATTTTTCATATGTAATGATTAATATTTAAAATTTAAATTATAATGAGCCTCTTTTATAATTTTAAATTAATATAATGTTTAGTTTTAAGTTGTAAAATATGTCAGAACAACAACCATACCCTTCTCCTCTTTCTCTCTCTCTCTGTTCCTGTCCCTGCAGCTGACCAAGCTGCACCAGCTGGCCCTTCAGCATGCCCCCCTCCTGCCTGGGCACAGCGTCGGGACCCTTAACCCACAAGGTACCCCACCACCTACCCCTGCTCGGGATGGCACTACAGCACCCCCGCTGCTAGCCTTGCTGCCTGTGTTGCATGCGGGGTGGGAGTGGGACGGGAAGAACAGAGGTGCATCTCTTATGGCTTAGTTTGTGGACCAGTGGTTGATGGTAGTGATTTACACATTAATGTGTATATCTAGGGATTGTAGTATGTTAATTGTATGTATACAGTGTATGTGGGTATTGCAATGGATGCTTTTTAAATTTATCCCAGTTTACTTTTTTGATATTTTATTTAAATTTACTCTTTCTTGAATGTTCTATTTAAATTATTTTCAAAATTATTATATGCAGACAAATAAGAAATTTAAAAACACAATAATTTTAAAATTTATTTACAAAAAAAAAATTCTGTATTAACATTATGTCAACATGCACATTTGTATGTACTGTATATATAAAGAAGAAATAAAATTTAATATTTTGTATAATAGTAAATTTATATATTTTAAATTAAATAAATTATTTTAAAAATAAATTTCAAATTTTTTAAAATACATTTCCATTAAAGTTTAAAAATATTTTAATATTTTTATAAAATAACTATTATACATTTGAATTATGTTTTAACTCAATTATTTTCTTTTAGTCCATTTAAACAGTATCCATTGTAATGCTATTTGTTTGCTAATCCTTTATGTCCAGCTTTTTATATTTTTCCCATTTGTGTATTTTAGCACCATTAAAATTTAGCTTATGTGAATGTGTTATTTTTAATTTGCTAAATGTAAAGTAAATGTGTAGTAGAAGTATGTATGCTGCTTTATTGTAAGCTTTTTTATATATAGAATATTTTTATTCCTTTGCTAAATTTTAATAGCTTATCCTTCACCTGTTTACTTACTGTCTAATAATTTTGTCAGTTTGTAATGTTGCTAGATAAATGATATATTTTAAATAATGCTTCTTGTTTATGTATTGGGAAGGGTTTTATGATTTTTAAAATTTAAAATTAGATTAAATTTTAAATTGTAAAGTTTAATACATAAATAAAATTTTAAAGTTTAATATAAAAGTAAATTAATAAATTTTTCAATTTTAATAAAGTTAAAAATAAATGCTAATAATGTTCAGAGTAATGCTAAAGACTTAAAGTTTTAAAAGAATTAACTTTTTACTATTAATGAAAAATTAAATTAAGTAAAATGTAATAAATAATATTAATAATAATTTATTTTTTCTTAGCCTTGGCCACATTGGCAGCTACCAGTAGTCTGCGTCCCGGCACTGCAGCAGCTGCTGCTTTAGCAAGTGCAACAACAACAACAACAGAAATGACGATACCTAATGATCTGATTGGCTGTGTTATTGGAAAAGGTGGTGCTAAAATAAATGAAATTAGGTGTGTTTATTACATTAATAATTTTAAATTTTATGATAATTTAATAAGTTCTTGGTAATATTGGTGCTAATTTAATTGTGAATATTTCATAAGTTGGAAAATAACTGTGTCTAAAAATTCAGATTGTTCACAATTGGTTATAGTCATTTTATTGAGAAGACGCAAAAACTGTGAAAAATTATAATTGATCAATTTTAGATATAGTGTTAAACTATCTCCTATAAAATTCTTTATTATAGTTATCATCAACAATACTATTCAAATATTATTACTAATTTGTGAAATCTGTGAAGTGCCTCCTATTATGCTTTTCACACTACGGTGTTTTCTGGCAAACACAGTAACCTTGATTTTACTTTATCGTGTGTTTGTGGAATGCATACAAGTGGCTATGTATGGGGATGAATATGGGCAGATGGAGGAGGGAAAGTTAGAGAGACAGGGAGTATCTGGAAATAATGCACTTCACTATGCATTTAACAATAATTAACAACAATTTATTTAACGAAAGAACTTTACAAGAATGATACTTAAATGGAAGAGTGTGGTTCTAATTGCATAGGCTAGAGAGAGAGTTTACAAATTTGGACATGTGTTGGCAAATATCTGGATCAGTGGAATCTGCTTGGCCAAAGTCTTGATGCCATGAATTGTCTTGATAAAGGAGTGGAGAGATTTCTGCTGGTTTGGGTAGGTTTGGACTCCTTGATGGTACAGTCCGCAGTCAAATGTTTGCTGTGAGGTCCTACTAAAGTCCGGTGAACTGCTGGAGGTTGAAGGGATCAGTGTGGAACACAGCTAGAATACACTCACATAAAAGAAGGTTGATCAGTGAACTGTGTGTAGTCATCTAACCTTTATCCTTTTATTTGGAGTCCTCCTCCTGACATTCCAATGTCCATTTTTGGTGAAGTTGCCTGTTGCTCCAATCTGTGATTTTGTCTCTGTTTCCCCTGATGAATAGTTATTTGGAAGCTGTGTCACTCATAAAGGAAGTACAATCCATAGGAAAAGTTCTGAAGTTTTTGGATGGTATCTGTGACCTGGGATCTTTTCTGTTGTAGTTTTGGCAAAATAAAATTCATAAATTCAAAAAAATTAAATCAAGTGAATTTTAATCAAATAACTTGCACTAGCCTATATTCTCACAAATTTGACTGACAACAAAAATTAAGACTATTTATAAATATCTAGTATATAAATTGCATATCTAGTTAATTAGTCTAGTAATAATGAGTATTATCTACTTTCCTAATTTAGGGATAGTTTGCACAAGTTACCATTTAAGCTACAGAAAAACTTGTCATTAATCTAAACAATAAATTATGCTTGTTGCATGGGCTATTTGAATTGGCAGATAGCTATTGATCAATTAGTTAAAAAATTCTTACTGTACAGCTACATTACCAAGAACCCTGTAAACAAGATGGAGGAACAAAAACTGAGAAAGCAAAGTGAAGTGATTGGAGTGTCTAGGAAAACACTGATTTAGCATATAATGTTTGAAATATTTGAATATATCCTATCCTTATGATGAGAAATGTTATACTACTATGAAATATAAAATATGGCCACAGTAAACATAAACAGTTACTTATTTTTAAATCAAATTGGCCTTTAAATTTATAATTGTTATACAATATTACAGGTTAAACTATTCAAACTGAGTATACATAAAAAAACACTATATATAAAACATGTATACTTTTTTCTTGCTGGATATTGGTTATATATGCAGTGTTTATTTACAATATTACAGGATCTGTCCTTATCTCTTTAAAAATATTTTTTGTGATTTGGATTAACATCATTTAAATAAGTAAATGTTGTTATCCACATTTGAATCAGAGCTGATGAAGCCTTATTGTTTCTTAGCTAATCTACAGAATAAATTTTAGCAGTAAAAAATTGGCTGGTTAACATAGCCAGAGTTTATCTCAACAGTTTACACTTGTGAAGTGCATTTAATCTTGAGATTAAAACTTTTGCAACTTGTCCTTAGATTAGTTTTAATTTAATTGGAAAATGCAGAAGTGAAATTTTGTTATTTTCTGGATACTTCTGAATGTTATTTCATTAATATTGTATGGCAACAAAATTGTTACTGAAAAATAAATTATATACAAATGATAATACACCTAAATTTCAATTTACATAGTACTCGAATTGCATGATTTTAGTTTAATACAGTCAAAAAATCGTGTTAAAATTTTATTTTATATATTTCAATTTCAGTTCAACATGGTATTTAAAATATTTTTCAGTATTTTAATTTTAAAATTAAGTATTTTCATTGATAAGATTAATGTTTAGGTCTTTACTATTTATTATGATGATGCAATAGCATTGCCAATACTTCCAAAATACACATTCAAAGAGATTGTATTCTTTATTTTGTACTGTGTCACAACTTTGCACCACAGGCATTAAACTAAAGTTACCATAACAGAATTTATAGAATATTAAATAGAAATAAAAAAACAAATCTAGATTATTGTCTCAAAAAATCTTTTGACATCTTCACTAATTAATTAAAAACAAACTGGTATTGAAGAAGTTACTAATAAAAGGGACAAAACTTTTAATTAAAAAGGAAGAGGAAAATTATTCCTTTATCAAAAAGTGAAATAGGCACAGAATGAAATTTCATTTTCATTCCTTCTATATTGGTTAATAAAAAATATGGAACATTGGAACCTATCCCTCCATTTCTCATATAAATATTAGTTTTGATTTACATTATTTGATTTTACATGAAACTAATTAAAATTGAGGATTAGGTATAATTGTATTTGGCTATTAATACTTAAATTATTTAAATTTCAAGTAATAATTCAATAATAAATAATTACAGTAAGTTCTCATATTGAATTTTGTTATTGAAATAATTTATGAAGTTGTTGCTTGTATATTTGAATCTTATGAAATACAGTGGAACCTTTCTATACGACCTTAATCCGTTCCCGATGTTTGGACTTATACCGAATTGGACGTATACCAAACCAACCTTTCCCATANTAATTGTAAAAATAAAAAAAAAACATAAAAACTCATTTCCACAAAAAACCAACGTAACTGGTATGGTGGGGGCTGCGCGGCCCCCAGAAGGTACGTAGCTCCATCCTTGTAAGTGCTACAGGGCCGAACATTTGGCACTCGCTAAGAGTCGCGACGTAATGAGATTACATAAAATAGCAGCTGCGCACGATATTTAGATATTTAGAAATTCGTAAAAATATGACGCGTGGGGGCCGCGCGGCCCCCAAGAAACCAGTTAAGGGTTAAATTCAGTTTTGATTTAGGCCTTTTTGTTATGGATGATAAAATATCAAAAGAAAAAGTCAGAGAATTTTAGTTTTATTTTAGTTTTCAAATTTAATATTCTGTTTTTGAAGGTATTATTGCAATTAATTGAGGAACTAATTCCTTTCAAAATTATATTTAAGTTACTTAATTCCTGCTTGAAATAAGCACAGTTATGGATTTATCAATTTTTTTCTTATAGTGTGTGTTTTATGAGATACAATATAAATGCATTAATCTAATTCTCATAATTATGACATTATTCTTATAAAATATCATGTTTATATAAACTATACAAAAATTTAATAAAAAGCGAATTTGATCAAAATGATGGTTAAATTATTTTAAATGAATAATTCTAGTTATAATTCCCTAAACTTTATTGAAGTTTGGCATAGCTTATTATAAATACTTAGTTGAATCTTCTTAATTATGCATTGCCTCAAATATTTTTATAACTTTGTAATCCATTTCAAGAATCAATAGCTAGAAAAATAGATATCTACTTTCTGTAAAATCAAATAGAACAGTCCACTTCAAACTAATAACATTAAAGTTGTCACAAAAATAATTTCAGAAATAAATTTATTTAATTTTAAAAGTTGATTTAAAGTGAAAAAAATTGATTTTTGAGTAAATAATCTTATTTATATTCTCAGGAAATACATTATAAAAAATTAATTTGCTTTGAAAAATATAAAAAGCTAATGATTTGGAATATGGAATTATCTTGATTTTTTTATTATAGAATATGTTATAGATGCAATTGCTATAGATGCTACAAGAATATACACATTTTTAAAAATATATTTTTTAACTCAATTTTTTAACATCAGAAAATGGTCATTTAAAAAACTTTATATATATACACTTGTTAACAATAACGTCCAATCATAAATAGCAATTTAAAATGTAAAATTTAAATTCATGTTTTTTTAATGGAAATTTTCAATCACAAACTCTTATCTCTAAAATAAAATTTTGTAACTTAATCATTTATAAAAATCATTGAGTTGCAAATATTTTTCTTCTGAAGAATGCTCTTGAGATTCAAAAATGTTGAGAATGATTTTGTAAGGAGCTCTGATCATAACAAAATACACAAGGTTCATAATCATTAAGAAACTGTGATTAGCATTTGTTTTTCAGATTAAATATAAAATGTTGTGTTAATAAAATGATTTTTAATCTAATCCTGGATTATCAGAATTATATTTTGTTTTTATTTTCATAAGCATTATATTTTCAGTACATAATTAATAGATAAATATTTAAAATTAAATTTAAAAAACAATTTAAATCTCTTATTTTTTTATAATTATTATTTAGATTCATACTTATTATTAATATAATTTTTTCAACATTATTTATATTTTAACAAATTTTTTTTAGTTTTTCTATTATTCTGTATGTAGATTTATTTTTACTCCTTTTTTAAAGAACACTTACTCTTAATTTAGTAATTTAACTTTTATACTTTATTAAATAATAATTAATAAATTATACAGAATGTAACTTTATATTTTAGTTATCTTTTGCTCAAAACTTTGATTAAAGATTATGTTTTATTGATAGATATATGTATCCAATTATTGATAAGTTTGTATATGTAATTCTGTTAATGTATCTGTCAAAATAGAAATGCTTTTAATTTTTGCTGTTTGAAAATATACAGATAATATCTGTTTTTATTTTTA